GGGAAGGGAAGGGAAGGGAAGGGAAGGGAACAGCCAGGAACCAGTGAAAGGAAACTTGAAAAATATATGCACTTACCATTAAGTTTTTACCATTTCTCTGAGTTCTTGTTTTCCATGAGCAGTTTGCAAATAAATATATTTATTTTATATAAAGAGCTTAGAAAGCTTCAGTCAAACATTAGATTCCATTTTAAGAAGGGAAACTTTGATGACTGTGTGTGACAGATGGCTCTGTCTAGTTGCTTACTTTGGGTTTCTATGTCCCAACATTCATACAGTGGCTTGGTGGGAAAAATTTTCCCTCCATTTGCTCTTCCTCAGTGGCCAAATTCAGGAGAAGGCACTAGTTTTATATTTCTCATGCTTGTAGTGGAACTGGAGGTTGATCTGACATTCAGCATACTACTGGGGGTGATGTTCAGTGTAATATTAGGACACCAGAGTTTCGAGGCTTGCATGAAAACAAGTGTCCAAGTTCCCATAGTAGGTAGAAATTTGGTCGGTGCTGTTCAGTGACTGATTCAGGACCTGTCCAGGTGTAGCTCACACTGGCTATGTTGAGAAGGGGCTTAGCTTGCCCACACACAGGTGGCTCTGCAAGACAGCACAGCTTCCATGGGATTTTTGCTGGATGTGCTGCTGGACCTCCCTGTCCGTGTGGAGGCCAGGCAGGAAACTGTGCTGTGTGTTAAATGGTGTTAGAATTCTCTCTGTGAGTAACTGAACTGAGTCCTAGCTCCCCACAGACCACATGGGACACAGGGAGTTGTCTCACAGGTGGAGGCTCAGATCTGAGTGTTTTAACTGGGAACTGAACTCTGCTGTGATCTGTGTGTTGCCTTGGAGCCTTCTAAGCCTTGAAATTTCACCACATCAACGTTGTCAATTCACAGAAAAAAAAGTTGTTTGCAGTCCTGTGATGCTGGGAGCCAAATTCCAGTATCAGTAACAGCTGGACAGTGCAAGTGCATGGTGCAACTGAGAAGACATTTTGACTTTTAGAGAGCTGGGTCTTGCCACAGTTGCTGTTATCCTTGGAGCCAGGGATTTACAGCAGCTGAAGCTTTACCTCAGTATAAGTAAATTTTAGAAACAATGGAGTATTTGCTCAAGCAGAAGTTGTGGTATTTTAATTAAGTAAAGACTTGGGTATTTGTCTTGAAGTTGCTCAATAAGATGGTTTGTGGGACAATTTCTGACTTCAGCTACATTGGTGTAAGCATGACGTAGCTATTTGTGCTAATGATCCATTTACAGCAAATTATTTACTCCATATAAATAAAATCAAAATGTGATCTAACACATCCTGCTGGGATGAAATACTTAAGCACAATAAACAAACTTAGACTCACTCGCACCTACTTTCCTGCAGCCTGCTATTGCTGCTTTTGTTCAGAGGGCATCTCTCACCAGACCACCAAATTTGGAAAGCAGTGCTGTTTACCTTTTTATTTCACTGTCTCACTTCATTGTTCTCAAGCTTGCAGCTTTATTAAAGTTAAAATGATGTTTTAAACCCAAAATGCTGAGAATTAAACTGTATAATCGATATCAATGTAAAAGTAATATATTTATAATAAAATTAAGTCTATATAGTTGAGTACTGTTGTTCTTATTGTTAATAGGTGGTTGAATTAAGAGAAAATACACCATACTTCTTATTTAATAATAACTGCTCCTAGACCCAACTTTTTATAGACTTTAAATGCAAATGATTTGTTCTGTGTTATAAACTGTTGTGTTTTTTGCCTTCCTGTAACTGGAACAACATACTAATTTCTACAAGTTGTGACTACTAACAGAGAGCAATCACCTCACAGACTTGTACCGAAAAGAAGAGAGCCTCAGCGTGGCCGGGAGCGGCTGCATCCACAGTCCTCGCTTCCCCAGCAGCTACCCCAGGAACCTCCTGCTGACGTGGCGGCTCCACTCCCCCGAGAGCACCAGGATCCAGCTCATTTTTGATAATCAGTTTGGACTGGAGGAACCTGAAAATGATATCTGCAGGTGAGTGGCGAGTGGAAGTTTAGGAAGGGCTCCTTAATACCACCTTTGAGCACAAGGATGCGGCCCCTGGCATGAGACTGCAAACCAAAACCTGAGTATTTCTGGCTGGGTCTAGAGAGACCTTGCTTAGAGGACAGACCTCCAGGGGTCCCTTCCAACCCAAATTGAGTTTATAAATAAACTGGGTTGTCCTGAACTTGAAGCGGTTTGGGCAGGTTTTAAACAGTCTATAATATTTTAAGCTCAAGACGCTTGTGTGCTCATATCCAGCTACCTAACCACTCAGGTCCTACTTTAATAGGATTTTGTCCTCTATCACCTCTGTCATGTTTCAGACAGGCAAAAAAACCCATCTGTTTGAGTGGGTGGAAGGCTCTGGGAGGTGTGAGTGAGTAATTATGGGTTTATACGGGGATGTGAGGGACAGTTAAAAATCCACTGAAAAATATGACTAAGCTATTCAAATTATTTGTCTTTATTGTTAACTCTTCAGCGATACAGTTTCTTTTAAAACCCTTAAATATAAGTCCACAAACATCAGTGTGCTCTACATACTGATATATCTAATGAAGTATACTCTGCTATACCCCAGTTGCTTTGGTTTCCCCTTTTAAACATAAGTGGCCATAAGCTCCATTGATCTGGCTGATATACCCAGCTGGATAAACTGCTTTGCGTTAACAGAACACAGAAGTGGATCTTGCCAACATTCACCGAAATGGTATAAATCCATGGAGTTTTTTTGCTTATATTTCTTTTATTCAGCTATCTGTTCCCCAGGAGAGAGCAGGCTCAGGATTCCTGTGCTTGCTGGAAGGCTGTGATGCTACTTACATAAAGTGCTCAAGTCTCAGCTTCCAGCTCTCTGCCTGATCATGTTGCTACTTATGCCTTACCTATGCAGAGAACTGGCTTGTTAGTATTTCTGCACAACTAACCTCTGCTTTTCTTATCTTCTTTGTCAATTAATTTGCATTATAGGGTATGGCAGCTCTGCAGGGTTTTACAGGGTGCATTACTTTTTCTTGTTTTGCTTTGTTAATTTTGTAATAGAAAAAAAGATAGCAATAGAGAGAATGTTTTCTTCAGGTTTGCTTTCCTTTTAGGAATAAAAGAATGCAGCTTGAACCTGGTGCTCCTTCCCTGTGCCTTGAAGGTCTTGGCAGCTGCTGCTCTGGTACTGTTGGTCCAAGACCAGCAGCAGAGTCAGTAACAAAAGTTACCTCCTAGCACTGCAAACTCTTCCCCAGGTTGACAGCCTATTGCAACAGAAGCAGCCTGTTAATATTTACATAGCGGGTAAACTGTGGCTGACCTTAAAGCACTGCAGCTTTGCCATGGAGGGCTAATTTACTGTGGAAAAAAAAAGACGAAGTATTATTCTCTGTCAAGAGCTGTTAAAGATGGTGTCACAGTGAGGGGGAGTCAAGCTGTTACTGGCATTATGGGTTTGGGGACCATCTTGGAAGACAGCCTGCCTGCTTTTTCCAGAGTGGCTAATTTAGGATGCAGAGAGAAGCGAAGACCTTCCATCACCCATACTGTCTGCAGCAGATGGAGAAATACCACATTCTTTTCTGCAATAGAGCTTTCCCTTGCCTCCCTGGAAGACCTTTATTTGTGTAGCATTACTTCCAGAGTGAGGAATTTCCCAGGCAGAGAGCTCGTGATGGCTTTAAGCCTGCTAAGTACTCTGTGCATAGTTAGATTTTTTGCTAATGCTCAGTATGTTTTTCAAAACTAGATCCTTTCTGCAACTTCAGTCCCTGACAATCCCTGCAGTGCTGCTTTAGAGAGACAACCAGGCGTGGTTTAATTGAAATGAATGCTGAGGGCTGAGCATGTGCTTGAACGCTGTGCATAATGGACAAGTAATTCAGCACCTCTGCATCTTACCTTCTTTTTGCACTTGCTTTTGACCTTATGTTGTTTTGGTTTTGTTTTTTTGTTTTTTTGTTTGTTTGTTTGTTTGTTTTGTTTGTTTTGTTTGTTTTGTTTTTTGTTTTTGTTTTTTTTCCCAGAAAATTCCTAGAGTTTTCTTTCAATTTTTCATTAATGCTAATTATTGCAATTTGCATGCTATTAAGACTGAACTGATTTAAATTCATCCAGGCCGAGGAATGAAAAGGTATAGTTTAGCAAAGCTGTTTCAGAAGGAGAGGAAAAACTCAAGGCTTTACAGAAGATTCTAGAAGTGCTGGTAGCATTTCCACAGGCACTTGATAAGAGATGATTCTGCATAGCAATTAAATTACCCAGCCTTTGAGGCTCCTTGGATATACAGAAACAACCGAGATTCCACCTACTTCTGTGATCATTGCAGCAAAGCCTTCACTGTTGAAAACAGAAATAATCCTTGAAAACCCATGGATTTGCCCCATTTTTGCTAGCAGTTATTCAGAAAGTGTCAAGGCCTGTCAGGACAAATTTCAGCAAAGCCTACGAGGTTGGTTTATGCAGAAAACTCTGCAACCCCTGGTTTTACAGGTGGATTCCACCACATCCATCACCATGGGGGAGTGGGAGCAGAGGGTGGTGGACAGACCCTGAGACATGTTTACCTCTGTCTGGAACTAAACTTTGTCATGTTACAAAAAATGCATGTTTCAGCAGAGTTTGAGTGGATATAAGTAATATGGTTATGGAGAATCTGTTATTTTCTGTTCTGTGTAATTTGGGGTTGGTGAATATAAATGCAGCTGATATTCTCAAGCCACATAGTACTTGTGGTTTCTTCACACGGGCTCTCAGCAGAAAAAGAAAAGCAGATCTGTTATTTACAGAGCTATTCAGCTCCCACCACTGGGCAGGGAGGCAGGCGCTTGGCCCGCTGTCCAGGGCTGGCGAGCAGCATATTGCTAGTAACAGTCTCAAAGTCCCTCTTTGGAGGGAGCACATGCTTTGATAATAAAAACCTTTCCTGGTAAAGACCTCCAAAGTTATAAGGCTTAACTGTACTGTGGGGATGGCAGCTCTCCCCATCTCTCATTGCCTGCACTTAACCTACCTTTCTTGTCATCACCTCTTCCTTGTCAGCTGCAATGTGTGGGGCCTAATTCTGGCTCCACAGTTCCTGACAAACTGTTTTTCTCATATACTTAGTGAGATGAGGACTTTATTCTCTGTCTTCTGTGATCTCCAGCTCAATAAATGAACTCAGTAAATGACCCAAGAGAGAGAGTATGCAGGCTGTGGGCAGGCAGTGCTGTCACTGTGTCCTCTCGTCCCTGGGGTTTAGTGCCTGCTGCTCCTGGCAGAGCCCCCTTTGGGCTCAGGGCACCATGACTGTGGCACAGATACCTGGCCAAGGTGTGTGTGCAGGGTGAGATGTATCAGTGGGTTTCCCCTGATGTGGGAGACAGGCCCACGTTGAACAACAGAGGACTCCCTGCCATGGCAGGCAGAGTGCCACTGCCCTTTTCTGCTTGAAAGCTTGAAATGAGTGTTTCCAAACCACCTAACGGGAGCACCATGCCACCTACAAAGAAGGTCCTAAAAAAACACCTCCCTGTGCTCCTGGCACAGAGGCAGCTTGGTTCCAAGCCCTCCAACAGCGCACAAACAGGTGGGAGCCAGTGGCTACTGCTGCAGGGAGCTGGGGGACCGTCACAAAGTGCACAAGTGCTTGCAGCTGCTCAGCTTGGGCAGCCTGCCTTTAATAATATTTTATCAGGTCTCTAAATTATTTATCCACCACATGAAGTGTACTAAGCACATGCAAGTTCCTCTCATTGATATTTTAATGTGGTAGAAAACAGTCTGTCATATTCCAGGAGCCCAAAAAGCAGCCATTTGAGCACTCAGGCAATAGCCTGAAGCCTAGATATATTTTGTGCTACACGAGCATGTGCATAATTTGTAATATTTACTCTGAGGTTTTGGCATAGAGAACAGGGGACAGTTGTCTATGTGTCGTCAGCTGTGCTCCTGTCTGTTTGCAACCTTCTTCTGTAACCAGAGTCAGCAAAAACTAATTCTTCAAACTGGTTCCCAGGTATGACTTTGTGGAAGTGGAAGATGTGTCAGAGACCAGCACAGTTATACGAGGGCGGTGGTGTGGACACAAGGAAGTACCTCCAAGAATAACATCAAGAACCAATCAGATAAAGATAACCTTCAAATCTGATGACTACTTTGTGGCTAAACCTGGATTCAAGATTTGTTACTCCCTTGTGGTAAGTCACCGAGCTGTGTCATGGGAGAGAGACAGTTTGTAGGATAAAAGAGCATCAGTATTTGAAGACTAGATGATGTAGCTAACTACAATTGGATCAAAACACTATTTGACTGAAAGTATTTTCATTTCAGCAACTAGATTAATACAGATCAAAGTATTTTTGACATTCTGTCATTAAATATAAAATAAAGTCAAGTCCAGGCCAACACTTACACTAATAACATGTTTCAGAAGCACTAACACTTTCTACACTGAGGCAGCACTGCCATTGCTTTGACAGATGCTGCAGAAATAGCAAAGAAACGGCTGCTCTGTAAGCTCCTTTTTTGTGTTAATTTGAGGTCAAATGAAAATACCGTGAGGGGTTATGGCTCTGATTCTGACTTAGATGCAGAGTAGTTTATTCTGCTTGCAATAAAATTCTATGTGCAAGACAATGTGCTAAGGCTCAAGCTGTATATTGAGCCATGTATAAGCATGCCTCTTTGTATATGCAGTGGCATTAACAGCTTGCCATGTAACGTTCCAGTGAGTGAAAACCTCCTCTGTTTTTATTTTGATTTTGACTTTAGGGAGAAGGCTCATTTGTCTAAGTAGATTTTGATACAAATATGTATTCTTTTGTATTGCCCTGATTAATATTACAATGCTTTTGGTGCAGTGTAGCTTGAAAGAGGCAGATTTTGCCAACAGTCAGGAAATGGTAAGCATTAATTTATTATACTGTCATCATCATATTTTCATATCCATCACAATCAGTATTCCCTTTTTATTTAATCCACTGCTATTTAACAAGAATAAGAAAACCTGGAATAGCAATAATGTTAATGTTGTAACAGGAGAGTTCCACTGTTTTGAGTCATTTTACTTCAGCCTCTCAGCTTTGCATGCATGTATGTCTGTGGATGCTAAAAAGAGCCCATAAACAGCACACTGTTGAGACAACTCTAAAGCTACAAAGATTGTGCTCCTTGCATTTAAATTGTTAGGCTTCTAGTGGAGTAAGCATTTCGCTGTGGGTAAATCCTGAACTCTAATTTACTCTAATTTGAAGGTAATCTACTAAAACTAAAATTTGGACAGAACAGTCTGTGAAAGAGCAATGGACATAAAAATGAGACAGTGAAGCAGCCTCTCTTTACACTGGTCATATTTCATTGGAGCCACTAAACTCTGCTGCATTTAGTAAGATTTATTCCAGACCACGTGCAGCTAGTTTGGTAGTATTAGGCTTTCCAAAAATGAATGTTATCACTCATAAGACACAGGACTATACACTAGAAATCTCAAAAAAAGGCTACTGTATTTATCTAATTTCAAAACTGTGAGTAAATAGAATTTTGCAGTCTAGCAAATTGAGTCAGAAGAACTCTATCCAAGTGCACCTTTTGAATGAAATACTATTTTATTTGAGAAGTACAGGTGAGTCACAGCCTTTGCAATGCTTTGGGATGCTGTGTACCTAACTGGCCTTCAGATTCCAAACCGTCTAACCTAAAACTGCAGGATTAATATTCAGCAGAGTCAGCCCTTATTCCATCGTCCCCACAGTCACTTAGAGCTCAGTTCATAGATATGCTGAGCACTGCTGACCCCTGAAGGTTGAACTCATTGTGCGTTTCTAGGCGGCAAACCAGGGAGCATTAATGAAGCATGCAAAAACATATGGTATTTTGTATCAGATTAAATGAAAGACCTTTACATAGCTTTTTTTTTTTTTTTTCCTTTGTAACCTTCTCAAAGATAAGGCTGCTTCTGGGGCCTCTCTTGGAAAATAGTGCATGAGATATGTTCAAACCTTTAACTCCCTTGTTTTTTCTTATGTTTGGATTTTGGATCTGCACAGCAGTTTATTTGTGTACCAGACTCTGATTACTAATTTTCTAGAGAAAATTGAAGCAAGCGACTTGAAGAGTTCACTTGAGTTTATCGATCAGCTTCATCTCCTGAGCGTGGTGGCAGAATGGCTGTGTGAATTTCTCCCCATTATAAATGCAGCCAAACAGCCTCACAGGCTCACTCTCTGTCCTTCTCATTTATGAAACTTCAAGGAAGTCAGTTAAATTCACTTCATTTGATGCAGATCAAGTTTTTACTTAGTTCAGCACTCTGCATGAGGCACAAATGAGACACCGCAGAGCTTAGCAGAAACATACTTCATTATCTTCATGTACTTGTGTTTTTGCATTAACATCACATTTCAGTACCATTTAGAGAAGCAAAAAGGATTTATTTTTCTAGAGAAGACATAAATTAGACTTGTATCCATGAAAATCATGTATGCCCTTGCAAAACAAGGCATGCAAAGGAAGCAACCCATGTAAGATGAAGGGGCTGAGTTGCTCAGGACAGTGGGATTAAAATTCAAAGTGACTCTGGAAAATTAGACTGAAAAAAATACAAGGATGATCTTTAACAGGAGAAAGTGGAAATCCATATGGATGTGTGGCAGTAATTAACTGTCACAGTATAAGATATGGGGCAATGAGCAAGGGAGCAGATCTGTCAAGTAGTTTGACCATCTAAATGCAGCATTTAGCAGCTTTTGCTTGCCAAGGTTGGCTCCCTCCACCTTCTTCCTCCTCCTCTCCCCATGTCATAGAATCATAGAATCCTTCAGGTTGGAAGGGACCTTCAAGATCATCACGTCCAACCATTGAGCCATTAGGGCTCTAAAGTCCTCTGCTAAAACAGATCAGAATCTGTCAGGGTTGGAAGGGACCACAAGGATCACCCAGTTCCAACCCCTCTGCCATGAGCAGGGACACCTCGTACTAGATCAGGCTGTCTAGAGCCTCATCCAGCCTGGCCTTAAAGACCCCCAGGGATGGGGCCTCAACCGCCTCCCTGGGCAACCCATTCCAGGGTCTCCTCTACCTCTTGGCACCTCTGCCCTGCCCTTTGTGGGCCTGAAGGGCTGGGAAGGCTGAAGGGGAAACAGTGGGGGTGGTTTTGGAGGGAAGGGGCAGATCCAACGTGCTGCTGCCTGTTGCCTGTCTCTTTTTCGTATCCTCTCTTTCCCCATGAAACTGTAGGACTCCCTGGAGTGAGAGCTCCAGGGTGGTCCTGACTAAAGGAGCTTACTAGTGAGTTGAGTGTGCCCTACTGCTTATTCCCAAGTTGAATAAGAGTGTCCTAACGTGACTGGAAAAAGTCACTTCTGCTCTGTACTGTCTGTGATGGTGCAAAAGTAGGTAGGTATGCACGGCTGGTGGCTGGTGGCTGCAGACACTTCACATTCAAAGCTCCCAGTTGTAGCTTTGCAGTTTGTTGGCTTAGCCTGGGTATCCACACAGAGAAATGTCTCCCTTGAACCTCTTTAAAAATTGTCTTTTCCTTCAAGCTTCACAGACCTAGAGCAAAAAATGATCTGGAGCAAGCCCTGGACAGCTGTTAGGCCTGAGCCTCACTTAGCCTCAGATTTGTTTGAGATTCCTCCCTGCCATTATCACTTACTTCTCCCACTTTTTTTTTTCCATTCTTAATTGAGTTGCCTTAGAATCATTAATTTGCAGTATAGAGAGCACTGAGATATTCCTGTCCTTTTTTCCTCATACGTTATATAATTTCTTCCTCTAGGGATATAGTTTTTCACCACAAACCCTGTAGAAATCTGTGATACAGAGGAAGAGAAGTAATCTTAGGTTACTTATGCAGTTGCTAGAGGGAGAATAGTCACTGTCATAAGAAAGGTCCCTGTGTTGTACACCTTGAAGTAAGTGATGTGAATATTCCACATTGCCACAAGTGTAAAATTTCATTCCACTATTGCTTGTACTGCAGTTACCTCAACTGAGGGCTCTTGCATCTAGCAAGTTAATATTCAATAATTACTAAAAATATGCGTCAATTATTTTGAGATGGAGGAATGCAAATTAAATTACACTGCTACACATGGAAATAATCTTTGCTTGATTGAAGTAATTTTATACAATCCCCTTTTTCCTTCTGAAGTTAAGATTTTCCAGTGTCCTAATTCTAGAAGGGAATATTAACAAGATTGGACCCCATGTTTTACAAGTACATTAGCATGGACCTTTACTAAAATAAGCTATGAACTCATTCAGGAACGTGTTCCAACAATAAATGTGAACGTTTTGAATTAAAATTTCCAGCCCTGCATATAATTCCATTTAATGGGACAAATAGAAAATGTTACATTCTATTTGCTAATTAAAAATGCTATTTTAAATTTGCTGTAAAAAAAATGTATTTGTTTTATATTTATAACAGTAAATTGTTATTGCCTTACTAATTGTTTTGTTAAGCCTAAATGAAATCCATATTTAGGAACTTTAGATTAAAATCATTATTGCAAACAAAGCTGCAAAAAAGCTAGGAAGATCTGTATAAGTGCAAACATACGTATCTACAAAGTTGTGAGGTTAAATGCATATATATTTACTTATACATCTTTTTACATATATAAACATACATATGTGTGTTTACCTTTCCCTTTTTAATAATATAATTCATGACTAGGAAATATCACATGACATTAAAATCAGTCTTTACTTATTTGGGAATTTTAAACCAACAGGGATGGACATGTGGTGCTAAACAGGAGGACATAAGTACATTCGTCCCAGGATAAACCTTTCTGTCAAAATGTGTATCAGTGTATCAGATCATGAGTAATTTCTACTTATTTGAAGTTACATTTTTTGAATGAAGGAGCCCTAGAGAGATTAATGGAGTGAAGTGAGAGGAACTTTGGTTTTTGAATCACTACGTGGAATTTTACAGAGAGGTAGCTTTTCTGTTAAATACCCAGGCTGTAGGTCATCACTCGTATGATCAAAAAAAGAGCATTGGTCACAAAGTAGGGTAAGACACCACAGTCAGTCTAATAAAATTTACTTACTTTCCTAAAGTCGAAGTCAGTTCAAATACTAAGCTTAATCTCTTTGATACTTGCCTGTTAAGCTCACAAGGAAATACCAAAATTTCAAAGCACAATCAGAAAATGAAAATGGGCAGCATAAGAACCTGGTTCTG